TGGAGTCCCTCCGGGTGCTACTGCAGGTCTCAATCCCGGATAAAGGAGAAGGGTTGGGCATGGGGTTAGCGACCCCATCCCGTAGAAAACTAACTCACTAAAAAAACGCTAACCAGGAAAAACTATAAAAAAACACTAACCTGTTTTTCATCATAACTTCTACCCAGATGTTTCGTAACCACGTCCCGTTGTCTAGATCATTACTAGTACTACAACAATAATAGACCTAATCTCAAAATTGCAGATTTGTCATGATGTGACTACCTAATCTATAAAATTGTACGTGTAAATTCATCCATCATCTATACTTCCTCGTTCTTTCAAGATGTCAGCAATGTGACGTCTATCGCTTCTGAAGAAGAAAGTTAAACTGAATAGAAAGTAATATTTCTCATACGAAATACAGTGGGCTATAAACAGGGTGACCACACCTTTATGGTCGAGCGATACCTAATATAATTGTTACGACGTTTACCGTTGCTGACCTTATCTCCCTGTTAGTTGTTGGATATGAATTTTCTCAGTAATTATATGTTCACCTTCGAGAATTATGTAGTTAGAGACCAGTATCACTATAAGGCAGTCCCAAAAATATCCCTCTTTAAGTCCATAGAGTAAAAAAAGTGCCAGAGAAACTTTTCACCTAATTAGCACTGAATAGAACCTTGCGGAAACTTCTGGCAAACACAGAATCAAATGTCACTGTTTGGATCGGATAGTTAGCTTAGCTGCTACTGTGTTTAGTATGGTTCCAGAAATTTACAGTAGCACAAGGGCAAGTGCAATACCATAAATATCTGCGTTTTTCTGCATAATAACTAGTCTTGGAGTAAAGCTCTTAATCACATCTGGAGTATTTTCTCTAGTGTTTCTGTTGGTATTCAGAGGTAATTAAAAATGTAAAAAACGGCTAGCAAGACGATTTTAGCGAGTCAGTCATGAGACTCATCGATCAGAAACTTCTGAACTCAAGACTATCTAGATAATTCCTCTAGGTTGTTTTGAAGCCCTAAACAATCATTTTCATTCCTTACTGCTCGACATGTCTCCATATCGTCTGCATATAACGGAATCGATTTTGCTACGGGATTAAGGTTATTTACACTCAAAGAATATAACACTGGGCCCAAGGCTGTGCCTCAGGGTACTTCAGTAAGTCCATTTTTTTAGCTAGACAACTTCGAATTAACATGTATTTGTTGACGGCCGACTAGGTAGTCGTTTATCCACATGGATAAGCTACCCCTATGTTTGTAATACTACAGGTGATTATGAGTTTATCCCTAGGTAAACATCCCTTTGCAAACATTCCGACTATCAAACTGACAAAAGAAGTCTATCGAATTTGTCAGTCTGAGTACTTTCTGTCACTGTTAGAATACGGTTGTTTATTATAAGGGAAAAAGACATACGAAGTTTTTCCCATCAACAGCATTTGTGGTAGAGGATTATTTTAGCTATATGATCTGCTCGCATTTTGATTTAAGGTAAATATTTTACAGTGCAAGTGTGTCGAAAGCTAATCCATTATTATTTGTCGAGCCTTGAGGCCCGAGAACATCTCTCAGAAGTCCTAACCTATACAGCTGACTGTGAACACAACTGCAAAGTTCAACATTGTCATCAACAAATAGTATTTTACAAGATACTTTATGCGGATAGCCTTTACTATACGTAAGAAGAACCTTTCGGAACCCCACTAGAAAATTCCTTAATGAAGCTGTAGTTTAATTTGGTGCAAAATAAAACAATTGTTTCAATTTACAACGGTTTATTAACATTAAGTGAATAACCACATGGTGGTTCTGCGCCTTATGAAACCAAAGACGTGCATTCACTACACTTGCTGAACTCGTACTGTCAGTGCACAAATACGTTCATCAAGAGCAGAAAATTGTAGATTTACACATCGCTGTGAACCCCGGCTAAATTATTTATCATACTAAAAGTATACTTCCGAAGGTTTCCCATTGAACATAGTTCATAACACCCACCAAGATCAGAAATAACCTTTGAGAAGAAGCGAATTAAATGTTGTCACTGGCACGTTCGGTAATATGATAAGCGGAGTCACTGAAGAGTACAGATTCACCATAATATTATATGAGTCAGCCAGCCAAACAGTTCTACTCAGCTTTATAGTGGACTGATCAGAAAACAGCGTAATTGTGCTTATTATCTGAATTACAGCCCGACATTTTAGGATATCCCGAACCGTGAAACATCATTTTATGAAATTTCACACTCGGAGACTGAGATTTCTGGGATCTCAAAAATTCGTATGTCGTGCCATATAAAAGGGACTTTTAACTAAATCGGTTGACGAGACTTTCAGTAAGAATGGTTGCTGAATCTAGTAGGTTCGAAAGAGTTGAGATTTGAATTTGGCCGTTAGAATGCGAAATTTCACCAGGATGTCCTCCTATTTTATGTCAGCAGCCGTTTCTTGGTCGCAGAAGCAGATTAAAAGTCAAAACCATTGGTTGAGCTCTTTTTGGAAAGGACCTATAACACATAGATTATCCATCAGCTCTCAGTAACCGCTTGTGGTGGTATTGGTTTTTAACCACAGGATCTTTGAAGCTGAACATACATTTAATGAGACTTGCATTCAACATGTAACTCTTAGATTAGGTTAAAAGTGGTGAACGCAGGAACAATTCATCGGTTTTAGCATGGCTCAGCATTACAGGTGCGATCATTCTGCGTTACTTATCCCTATTTACGTTGAATTTATTATTCTATCTCCACCCCAGATGTGTCCTTTAGAAGCGCTAAACATTATATTGATGAAGATCACAATAGTATGAGTTAGTATGGACAACGATGTGACTCACGTAGTGTCGTATAAGTTAGGTGATCACATCATGACAAATCTAAAATTTCTGGATTATATATATTATGGTAACAAAGATAAATGTACTCATACTGAAGTAGACCATAAATATACACACTAAATGTTTGTCGACATAAGTAGCATATACCACAGTCTCATTCTATTCTTTGTACCCGTTCTTATGAATATGTTTCTAGAGTAACGTCGTTTATGCTACATAGTCACTGAAGCAGATATCGAGCCTGGATACAATGAAGGTGTAATCCACTTTATGTGCTAACCGCGAAGTGTGTCTTCGACGTTAGCTGGTCGGCCACACAAATTTCGTCTAACCCGAGTAAATTCTCAACCATTCCGCACAGGTTATCTGAGTTAGCTTACTTTAGTTGTGGATGTGAATGCACTTCAAAATAGTCAGCTTTGAACACTAAGTTTCCTGCTTCTATGGTTTTCTCCTTTTATCTGTTTAGTATGTAATAGAATGAAAATAATGTTAATATCGAACCTCAGAATAGGTTTCTACAACTTATTCTTTAGTTTATAAAACTTGGAGTTCAGGGTGTTTTGTGAATCGCCTTGAGTCACAGCTGCTCACGAAATAATAAGCTTCATTAGGTCTTCATGTTGTTATTATTATTGAACAGCATTGTTACTTTTGACTAACATTGTCCTTGTTCTACCTCAGTCATGCTAAGCATAAGCCAGGGGCGAGGCGTACTACCCGATTAAACTGATGAACGATTGCAATTTCCAATTTCGGTATGAATAAACAAACTCCAATGGTTCCAAAACCCTGACTGTATTGGTAAAACATCTGAAGTGTTTTCGCATTGTTACTTAGGACTCATATCAGAACCATCTAACAAGTCTCCCTGATTCGTATACTCTAGATTAACCGAAACGTTTCTTCAGGAATAAGAAATCAAAACAGGTTGGATATTGTATGCCTGTAGCTATATTGTCTGAACGTTTGTAATAGTGGAGACTGTGTATGAACTGTGGGGTTTGAAGTTTATGATCTCGGGTAAAAAATGAATGATAGACAAACTTTTCGCTGGTCTTTTTCTTATTAGTTGCAGCATAGAAGTCAGAAGAGAGGCGTTACAGATCGAACAGATGATCGATGGGTCAACAGTAGGATCACTGAGAAAATACAACGTGTCTTTTTGCGTCATGTTCTCAGTATCCTGTATTTAATGGGACATAGCAGAGGAGAACTGATAGTCGTTCAGTTGAATATAATTTTTTGAGGTTCCTTAAAAAGAACGTCCTACCTCTAAATCTTCGAAACATCACTAAGAAGAAAGGGTACTCTGTTAGTCATGGACGAAGCCAAATAGTTCGTCAATGAGACATTAAAGATTTTTGCTTATCATGGCCAACTGATCCGATAAAATGGAGCATATGTGAACAGCGGAACGGATTATAGACACAACTTTCACTCCTTAGGAGTTGTCAAATGCTGGAATTCGCTGCCGGCTGAGCTAGTTCAAGCGACCTCCCAGGAGTCCTTTAAGAGGAAACTTGACATATTTTTAAGGACTAAGGATAGTATCTTACTATGATTCACCAATTTCTTTTTCCCTTTTTATCGTTAATATACCTATGTTCCTGTCTGGAGGTATTGGCGATCCATTGTTACTAGACACAGAAGGCCGTTAAGCGGAGGCCCCTTCTATTTCGTCAACAACCAGCTGAACCATTTTGAACCATTCCTGTAACCAATTGCTTTTAAGACACTGTGGTGGACCAAACAATATTTGAACTCACAAATGATAACAGAGTTATTAAGCACAAATAGTAATGTTAATATATATCAGTTAAATGTTATAAACACAGCAAAAATTAGAGACGTTACTTAATTCAGCAGATTTGTGCGTGTTTATCATTTAACGATAAACGTACATGCAGTAAAAAATTGACAGAATAACGACAAATAGCATCAAAAACTATTTACAAAATAAGCTTATCAGGCTTATCACCACAGCACTATGAACAAGGGCGTGAGAGTAGAAAGGTATTTGTTGTTTTGTACATTTTTGAGCACCAATATGGGTAGCAAAAACTTCGTGAAGCTTCTGCCAGAGTGTCTCAGTTCTACTTTTAACCCGAAATATGTGCAGAGAGATTTATGTTAGTCGATTGTGTCTGAGTAGTTGGCGGTAAGTGCAAATCCTATCGTTACTTGTTGTGTCTGTTGGTCGTATCTTACTGCTCTCTGTTAGCGGACTCCGGTCAGTTGTTGCATAAATAAAGAGAAATATTAACGCAGCTAATTATTTAATAGTAAAAGTACAAGAATTTTCCCCTTTATAGATGAAAACAATTAGTTGTCATGTCCAATATTATTTTGTTGCCCGGTTAAATGTCTTTTGAAAGTTAGGAGGTAGTGGTCCTACCGTTGTTTTAAATCTTAGGGTAGTCAGCGTGGTCTCTCCTATCTCTTCGTTGGGATTTTTGGAGAATAAACAATTTTCGTTTACACCATTTTTTTGGGGGGGGGATGACGCCTTCATTCTCCTCTCTTTGTTTGCTTTGAATGTAACGCGAATTTTATGGTCTGTGTTATCGTCTTGGTTGATTCTGTCATTGTTAAGTAACCACGTTTCCTGTATTTTGTCTCAAGTCAGACATGAAAGTCATGCAATCACAATTTGTTTCAACGTTCGCTCTTGAGTTTTGGCACAGTACTTGTACATTAATTCTTTTGCAATGTAATCATTAAAACATAACATCCAGCTCAAAATAGATAGACCCTCAGGTGTCAGTTCTCCATAGGCTTTTATTATGGCAATAGCGATTTGGATAATACTTGTCGGTGTCCGTGTTCCTCACTTCTTTACTTAGTTATGCAAGAAATGTACCTTTTTTATACAGATGGATTGCGGTCAGTTTGGCGGACTATAACACTCATGGCTGTTTCTGTACCTTGCTTGAAAGTAACAGTAGATGTTGATGGTTGTGATGTACCGGCTGAACAGAAAGACCAAATATTGTCACCAATTTATTGTTCATGTCAGGTAAGACACAGTTGTACTGCTTTTTTTCTTAAGTTTGAAAAAAAGTTCATCTCTTTCTGTGGTTATCGCACTTGGTTTTATGCTGAACTAAAAACACGTAAAGATAATGATCCCATTAACAAGGAATATCCTGTCATTGAAATCATTAATATTGCTCTTATATCGCTTGTTTTAAGAAAAAGCTACAAGATATCTACTAACAGATACCTTCATTTACACCGTCAAGTTTATATGGTGATGCAACTCACTAAAAACAAGTTTGTGTACTTATCATTAATCTCATGTGTGAAGGCCAGTTCAACTACCCAGCCTCCCAAATAGTTGATGTAGTCACATTTTAAACTTGAACCTACTGGGTGAAAACTGAGTGCGCTAACCATTAAATCAACACTTCTCACGCTGATGACTGATAAAATCTGGTTGTCAGTAACAGTATATTTTATTTATTGTATCATTACAGTTTGTCATATCTGTGCTTCTATTCGGGTTATAAAATTTAGTGACATTTTAGCTAATTAATATGTATACGTAGGAGGGATAACTGACTACTTACCTAATAGGTGGATTTTAAATAATGGTTTAGGATAAAGCGAACGGAATGCTAGAATCAGGACAAAGTCATATTCATCAGTTTTTCAAAATTAAAATTCCCCACCAAAATATTTTGTGTTTTGCTAGAGATTTAAGACTTTTTCTCATGTTACATATTTGTTAGTCTGCTGAATACATAGTATGTTGCTAGGCAAAAACGGAAAATCATCTAATAATGCTGAATCTTTATTGAGTAATGTGGTTGGAACGTGAGTTAAATGTACCTGGCCTCCTAGAGGTAACCACACCGTGACATTATTAATCGATCTCTTTTAACTTAGTCTGAGTAATGTTAGGAGGACGGAAATTTTCAGTGACTATCTGAAATATGTAATGATCACAGTTAGCATGTTGAAAATACTGATCCTTTCCTAGTTTCCAAATAATTAAATCACACAAATTCTGTGTTACTTTATTTTATAGTCTGAATTTTGCAACTGCGGTTCCACATTAGCGATTACTCAGGCTTCTGCTGCAAAGATTTATCACCACTTAGGTTTTCCAAAAGGAAGGAATGAAATATTAGAACAGGGTTATAGATCAAATGCTCTTCATATTTGGGGTACTCACAATCTTAGTACAGAGGATGTTTTATCTTGGTTATCTGATTACAGCCCAAAATGTATCGAATGGATAAATGATGCATCATGTATGTTTAATTATGCTAATATCGTTATTCGTTTTCCTTAATTTCTGGAATTCTATGTTACGGTGATTATCATGGATTATATTTTTGTTCGGTTTCAATTGGTCATAAACAAAACTAACTCGTAAATGATCGTATTTTGTATTTTATGGTTCTGTTTTGCACATAATGTGGTGAAAGTTGAATTTGAAATGGGATATTGCAAGAGTCAAGCTCATGACTTACACAAGTTTATTTAAAACTGTGAAGATGAAAATCTACGGTTAAATATTAGGCGTAATCATAAAAAAGTGAAGCAGTCGTCCGACACATGTTTGAAAGTGTTTTAATTCTTTGATTTTTACTACTATTCATTGGTCTTTCACTTAAAATTCGGTCATTTTTGTCGACGTATACTCGACCTTAGGTTGCGGGAAAGCTAAATAAATAGGTGTCTGATCAGTGTATATCAAATATCCATTGCAAAACGAACATCAGAATACGATATTCTTAAGGTGGTTTTTTGTAATAAAAAAATCTGGCATTGACTTCAATACGTTGAAAACATGTAAGCACTGTTAGATAGTTGGAGTTTGTCGATAAGAAACCCTGAGTTTAGCTTTCGTACCACTTAGCATCAGTCAGCAAGGCACACCTGTTGTTTTGATGTAATAGGTGCTCCCAGAGGGATTCAGTCCCCTATCATCCAGCCTCATAATGAGTTGTTACTACTGAGCTGTTCGGGCAGCGACTGATTGTTGACTATCTTCAACTCGATCAGCACTAAAAAGTCTTTACCAACATAACATTCCTCACTACTCAGTGATCAACCAATTGTGAGTACCTTTAAGTACTGGATATCTCTTTTTAGACATGCTAATAGAGAGTCGAATTCATGTATGAATACAAGCAAGCAACTGCCCTTCATGTTTCTTAAACTAATCAAACTTTTATAAAGTAATCTGACAACAATGATTTCAGAATAGAGAAATTGCCTTTGTAGAATAAGTTGGTTAGCAATTTATGTTTTATAAAGAATTAGAAAAAAGCAGTATGAGGCTTTAGTTAATTTTAGTTATTACGCTTGCTAGGGTTCCAAAGGATACTTAAGGCTGTTAATGCTACATCCTAATTTTACTGGTTTAATAAAGACTAATTTTACAAGCCTTGTTCCTCTGTGATTCTGTCGGGGAATTAGGAACTCTTAACAAAAAACTTATATTCATTGTCATGATGGTCTAATCACAACTAAAGAATTCAAAATAACTCAGTTTATTGGAAAGTATGTATTTTTTCTCCAAATCTCATTCGGTATTTGGGTTTGTGACCATTATTATCAAATTATATAACGAGGACTTAACATTGTATGTGGGTTACGATTAAGATCTGATTTTCATACATTATCGTACTAATCACATCAACAGAAACCTACTTACATCTACATAATGTCAATCAGCTTAGGTGTATTATTTCTTCACCTCTTATCTCTCTTGTTAAATGTATGGTCTTAATCCAATTTTCCAACTACACTGCTGTCTCCCTTAAGGCAATGTCGTGTTTGAAGATGAAAATACTGTTCTACGCGCTATAGCCGATTTCGCTGAACCATTTGATCGTCGTGTTGCATTAGCTGCAGCTGCTGCTTTGGCCTCACTCTTAGAAAAAGATGATATTAATCATGTAGGCTTAAGTCAGTCAGATAATTTAGACGAAATATTTGAAGATCGTAAATCTCTGACATTATCAAATGAAACACTGGATTCTATTGAACAATTTTCTCAACATCTACCTCCAACCGGACGTTGGTATAAGGCATTGTCAGTTCCACCTCAAACAATATCACTTTTTCTACGATTCCCACATAAAAGTAAGCGGATATTAAATTTCATCCTTATTTCTTAAGTTTTAATTAAAAATGGTTTATTAATTTGATTTTTTTGTGGAAATATATTTAACTATTGCTTATTTCTTCCAAGTTAGATAATGGCTAACAGTGGGATCCTGTACGGGTATCTCGTCAGTTAAGTGTACTTATGTCTCATTATTGACGTTCATGATAAGAATCGGATTCAGTACTGTTCTCTTCAATTGTTGTGTTATCCAATAAGCCACTAAATCCAGATAGTCACAGCTTATTCAACGAGTATAAATTTTATTTGTATGGTTTACCTCAATATTGCCATTCATCTCAGGATCCACATATGCCAACAGAGATTGATCAGTTGGAGACCTTAACATCAACAACAGTAAAATATGTATACTCACAAATAATTGCTTTTAGTTTTAAGATTATTTTAGTAGACAGTGCTTACTTTATATTTGAACACCAAGCTTTTTAATTATAATTCAGTAATGACTTTGTAGTGTCGGTTATTATGTTAAGCCCGTATATCTTACTCTCGCTTTCGGACAACCCAATCTATTCATTCTACTTGAGTCACATTTTGACCTTGTTAATTATCCGCTTATAAATCTTGGCTGTTTTTATATGAGCGTAGGTGTGTGTTCATTTCTTATCCCATTACTCATCACATGTCTGTAACTTATTTTCGTGTAACTATAACTATTGATTAATGCTTGGTTAAATGGGTGTTGGCTTACCCGCCATCTCCACTGCGCGTCGTTTCGCTTCTCTCTATTCTATTCGCTGCATATACAAAATATATGTATTCACAAGTCCCTTCCCGTTATTTGGTTTATCTAAATCCGTTATTGACTAACGCGATTAAAGTCGACTATATACGAGGATAGGCGACATATATATTTCAGCAACAAGCATCATTACGATCACCTTGGAGTCAGATCTCGGGCCACTAAAGTGGAGAGCCCTTCAACAAACATCGTCCGATCTGAATGTGACGACAAAATAACGGGCCCCACAACTTTGTGATGAAATTTCTAGTAAACTGATATCCATTCAAGTTTAATCTACTATACTAGATTTGTTGTTGTTTTAATGTGATGCAATTTAATAGTTCAGAAATTTACAACTAAATCAATTTGAACCGTTAATATACTGTTTATTTATGCTGTAGTGTTTATCAAGAAAAAGGTTATGGAAATGATGTAAATTTCCGTTTAAGTGTCTGACTTTGAGATTACATATATAAGGAATAGTCTCTTACGCTGCTCATATTGTCTATTGGTTATTCAGATGGTTACTTTGTTATAAACTTGAACACTATTTTTAAATGATAAAGAATATTAGTTCACTCGTATCGATTTTTATTTACTAGTCTTTCTCCCACAATTGTGATGTGTTTCGTTAATTTGGTAGGCAAGTTTTACTTTATTTATTTGAACACATAAACATTGATACAAGGAGGCACCAAATAGATATATGTCACATAAATCATTCGATTTGTGTGAGGGCTGGATACTGCACGGGTGCCCAAACCGAAGCAGGTGGTTTTATTTGGAGCCACACCCGGAGCCTTCGACCTAAAGGTCTGACCCACAAGGCAGTGTGGCAACGTCAGGAGATGCAGTCCCATGGTATCCAGTGACCAATAAGTGGTTCATACACACACCGTTTGTTCCCTCAGAGTCTTGGGGCCCATGTACACAATTGGTTTGGAATCAGGGTTGTCCAACCCCTCTAGGTTAACCCTCCGTGTCCACCAACCCGGTTAAAGCGCCGGACATTCGCTTTTCGTTCTCTTAGTTTCGTAAACAACACCCGCGTCGCGAGAAGGCAGTGAATAGGACTTCCCTGGCAGTGGTTGTATTCACGTGGCCATGTGAGAGTATTTCGAGAGGGAGGGCTGACTCTCTCCACTCTCGGCCGTACCAGGGCATTTCAGGGTGGTAGATAAGTTGAGGTCGGCAAGTTGAGGAATATTACATCATATAATGGTGGATCGGTTCAGTTGATTACATTTCGTAACGTATACGGATTGAGGAAATCAACAAATGAGCGTTGGAATGAGGTCATACAAAGTGACTCAAATGTTTGCCTTTAAGGTTAATAAAGCTTGTTTGTGTTCGTTTAAAAAGTGTGTAAAAATTGGATAACAAATGTTACTCAAAATTTCGGATGTAGTATTATCTAAAGTAAATTTATATCATTCAACAGTGGGTTTCTACTCTACATGAGGGATATCAAGTTAATCCTTCTTATCAAGTGCATGCAAGTGTTTGAGATCTAACGCCGTTTGTTCTGTTTTGCCTTTTCAGCGGATGTAAAACTACCTGGGGCAGAACGTCGAAGTCTTTATTACCGCCGTTTTGGTAACCCTAATTATGGTGGAATGACTGGTATTTTAAGTCGTTCATACAGACGTCGTGTTCGGATATCGCGAATTAAATCCAGCAACGATCCTAACGGTGACTCGCGTCATATTGAAAGTTTATCTGCACAATTTGCCGAGCTGGTTGCCAACGCTTATGATGATCCCGATTCAGTAGTTAGTCAAATCGTTGGTAATAGTAACTACAATATATGGAATTCGGCTTCTCAAGCACCTGCACCTGAGCGCCCACTTATTGTTTACGATAATCTGTATGACGAGTCAGATCAAGTAGCTCATCCCGCAATATTTCCCAAATATACTACAAAGTCTAACACAAGACAGCGTCGAAATGCTAGCGGTAAGATCCCAAGGTGTTTCTTTTTTTTCTTATCAATATGCTATGTGAATTTGTGCAGGGAGTTGATGGGTCAGTATTCGAAATTATGTCTTCCGTTTCCATGGTGTTCTTCTTTCCCCAGTGCACTTTAACGACTACACTTCACTAGACTTAACTTATATCAGAACAAGAATAAGTTGGGAATAAGGTACGTTCCAAAGAACCATGTATAGCGACGAAAATGCATCAGCTTATATTGAATTTACGTGAGAAACGTCTAGCTCACCAAGTCCAGGTTAAAATTCGACCAATTAATGTACTTGAATTCAATTTTGGATTGGACTTGAAATCGTCAGCAGCTTATTTTTTAACAATTCCTCCTGCGTACTGATCCCGGATTTATCTTGCAAGTTATCCAACTCGTTTGGCTTTACTGTGTTAAGGGCATAGGATTTCTATCTATACATACAGAATTCTATTTTGCACCAAAATATAATATTGAATAAAGCCATTAATAACAATAAAAAATAATAATAATAAAATAGACCCTCACACATATATTGGTAGTATTTTGGAATTTAGCATCTAGTCAGAAAAATTCCATATATATGTTCAATATTTCATATCTATAATTATATGTATGACGAATACTACAGTACTTCATTTGGTTCATGTGTACCATACACAATTCAATATCATATTTAATTGAATACCAGATTGGTCATACGATACTTGTGAAATATAATTTATACCTTTATTACATCTTACTTTATCTGTAGATTACCATAAAGTACATTGAATTATTCATTATTGACGCTCAGTAGGACTTCATCTACTTTCAAAAAATTCAATTTGAAACATATTTTATCATATACTTATGATGTTGATTAGTAAAAATCAATTTCAAAGTTATTGCGTTTATCTAACTGAATGGGTGTTACATATGATTACAATCTTGTTTTTATCACTACCAATAACATATTACCTCTGTGTAAGTGATAGAAATGAGATACTGTTTGGTATAAGGTAGTGATATACACAATACATTATCAACTTCGATTATTTGGCTTTTCATAACGTATTTTAGTGTTATGGTATTACTTCTCAATTTCTAATCTTGTTCTGATGCCAATTCATCCGCTTTTTAATAAGTGGCTTGGTAATCTTTCTTACTTTCCTAATGTCTTTCAGTTTTGTGGTACATAAACAGGTATATCCAAATAAAACGAAATGCGCGTCCTGGATTACACCGCTAGCCATCATCCATCTTTGCTTATAAGAGTACATAAACATGTTTGCCGAGTTATTACTGCGCGTAAAGGAATCCTCCACCACATACAAAATATGTGTCTAGGTAAAAGCAAAATGGAGTCATTGGCACCATTTCTGTACTCCATTAATGATATTCCCACTAATTCTATAGCTGATCATATTTTCGTATATCATCATTCAGCCTAGTTTGATGCTTATAGTCACTGAATCTGTTTAGTAGTCTGAAATTTTAATCATGTTGTTCGTATACGAGCTTTCAGGTAATTGTAAGTTTAGCCGTTATTTCAAACAACTGATTTTTTAATACAAGAGCGAAAATCCGACTGAACTGATCTGACGTTTGTTTTCACAACTAATTTTTAGGAATTTGATAGTCATTTCCATCTAAAAATTAAAAAAACAACTTAACTATGGCCTCTGCAAATGAGTTTAATTTCAGAAGGCAAGGTATCACAGCTAAATTGTGCTCTTGTGTCTAGAAATAAATAATTACATATAGTTGTCTATTTACGTGATAACCAAGTTATACAGGAATGCTGTCTAGAGGTTTTACTTGTTTTAATCCAACTGTCCGTGAAAAATGGCGACTGGGGGCGAAGTTTATTTAGTGCTGTTTAGTAATGCTACTCATGAGTAACTTGTCTTGTCCCATAAAATTACTGGGTACCCAATTGGTCTAGTTATCTAATTAATTACTTTTAAACCACTCGTTTGCTCGTGAAAGAGTAGTGATGGTACTCGATTGTCCAAACCGAAGTAGGTGGTACTAGGTTTAAACTTGATGTCTCATGGTTGGAAACTGAGTGCTTTACGATTACACTTTCGTTACTCAATTTTTATTGACTTAATTTGATTGACTAATATAGTTAGTATTCGTTATACCTTATTGAACCGATATTTTCTCTCTGTTTGTGCTTAGTTCTGAGCGTCTATTAGTCTTCACCTATTGAAATAAACAAACATATCACGAGAAGTCAATAATCTTCTAGCTTCATTCTAGTATAACTGTCAAAGTTTATGTAACATTCTCAGTTGTTGTTTTAATATAAAATACATAATATTACACATTATGATATTTGTATTGTTTCGTTTATTGGTGTTCGCGATGGATATTGAAAATATATGGGCCATAAAAGTGTGCCGGCTAAACCGTTTATTGTAAGCTATCTTTCAACGCCTGTCGTTTGTTGGATTGTTTAGTTTCTAGTTTATTCATTATTCACATCATATGCTAGTGCATTGTTTGGATACCAAACCGTCTCTCTTGTATTTGTATTTAGTGTAATTTTACAAGACGATATTTAAAATGTTTTCTGTCATTTGTATCCACAAAATTCACTTGTTCTAGAGTTTCCTGTACCTAAACCTCGACGACAGCCTCACAAATGGCCTCGTCGAGATCGCGGTCCAATACCAAATCGCTGGTTGACGAATGAAGACGATGACGAAGATGAGGATGATATATTTGAAACTCCAGAACCTGGGACGATTGTAGTTTTAGATCCACGGGAACCATGGGGGAGTGCATTGTCTGGTGACTCTAAACCATCCCTGCGCTCAAGTGGCTCCAGTCGTGTCAAACCTGCTAATCGTCATTATCCTCGTAGCATTGCAACAGTAACATTAATGCCTGATACCGATGTTAATGATGGTATTAATTTAGTTGAGGACGAAAATGCCCTCAGAACCAGGCGTTTGTTGGCGTCAATGAGCATGGTTGCAGATATAGAATCCAACTCCGGAAGACCTCGGTAATTTTAATACTTTACTTTGAACAGTCTAATTTTACTGGTGCGAATTTTGTATTGGCTGCTTTAAATCATGTCATTATTTCAGTTGTCATTCTGAATGAATGTTAAATTCAACATAGTAAATCTACTTAGTTCATTTTTTAAATCGTTAGTGATTATTTTTAGTTCTTGAATGATATAACTCCTAATCTGTGGGTCGATAATCGAATGTATCAAATTACATTAAAGAAATGAATCTAGATTTTTTAACCGTCCTATATCGTCTTCTGGATTTATACAGGTTGTATAATTCTGCATAGACCCTTACCTGCATGCTTTTTTCTTTTATGATGTTCGTGTATCGTAGGGATCGATCCTATTATATACTAAGTTGTTTTAGTTATCAGTGTATCTGTATTGGGCTTGTTTTTCGTTTATTTAGGTCTGTTTCAGAACGTCTTGGTGTTCCTGGAAATCGTCCAATTAAATCACGTAAACCAAATATTTGGCAACGCTTGGGCTAAACTTCGTTTTTTTATTTACTGTTCTTTGTAGAAGCCTTTTAATTTCCTTCGCCGGATCCTTCTGTTGTTATATTATATATTTTTATCTTTAGTCTAGTGTATATATATATATAAACATCCAGTATTATCCTTCTTGCTTTTCTTAATTTCACTCAGCGTGTATTATTCTAACCACTAGTTGTAAATATAAAAGAGATTTATTTACACTAACAATATCGATATTTTTGATTGTCTTATTTTTTTATAACGAAACCTGTTAATCATGTTCGATTTCGTGCAGTTATCGTTAGAAACTGTTGATACTCTTCAAGGTATTTAGGCCTTGATATTCAGGATATTATGCAATTGTGCAATCCAATGATTACAATCCAATTGTTTCGACATTAATTAACAGCTATCCTGTTTAGTACCAATGTGTTTATCAAAACTGATTGGTTGGTAGGACTGGCCAGTATTTTTGTATATGTAGTGTAGTTGAGTGTAAACATAAAATACTGTTAACAATTTCAGTAGAATGAAATGTATCGTGTATGTATTTCATGTGGTTTGGTAACGGTTACAGTATCATGTTTTTATGATTATTAAGTGGATTTAAACAAAAGGTATCAATAGGGTATTATAACTCCCAGGTTGAGAATTCTTATCTTCATTTGATATTGCATGTTTCGCGATTAAGAATTGTGACGACGGACCACCGGTGAGCTCGAGGAAGCTGTAAGAGGCTCATAAGGAGCCGAAGACGTTCCATCCAATCACCTTTCGGAAGAATGTTCTAGAATTCCAACGTGTAGCTTCCCCATTGGATAATGCTAATAACCCCCTGTACGCGGATTGGAAGACTGTAATGATGATTTCGTTCTCACTAAAAACTATAAATACCTGACAATTTTGTACTATGTTTGACACTGTTTGGAATAATATTCCTTTCGTTAGTCTTCTGTCTTCTTATTGCGACTTGGAAGGGTTTGGTGTTCTAGTGCTCAGTTATACGCGGTTGTATCAAGAAAAATCAGCTTTTTCAAGTTATAACATCTGGCGACGGGTTATTGTATCAATCTGTCACTTACCTTGGAACAATTTGAAGCCTTATTGGAACGCCAAGAAAAGTTCCAGATGCTCATGTTAGAGATGCTAACGCAGAAAATGAACCTGGATCAAAAAGAAGTTACAGATGATCCCTTCAAATCTCATGTTGACCAGATTGTTAATTCTATTCATGAATTTAATTTTGATGGTTCAGCTGGCATTACTTTTGAAACTTGGTTCAAGAAATATGAAGATTTGTTCAAGGTCGACCTCAAAAAACTTGATGACGCCGCTAAGGTCAGAATACTCTTGCGAAAACTTGGAACTGTTGAACATGAACGTTACAGTAACTTTATCCTTCCAAAGAATCCAAGAGATTTTTCTTTTGATGCAACGATTGAAATTTTGTCGCAAATCTTTTCTGAACAGTCATCTTTGTTTAACATTCGTTATCAATGTCTCAAGATGACAAAAGCAGGTGATGATGACTGGGTGAAACATGCGGGTTTAGTAAACCGTGAATGTGAGCGTTTCAAACTATCAGCAATGACAGAAGACCAGTTTAAGTGTCTCGTATTTGTGTGCAGCCTCCAATCTCCCGAAGATGCCGATATTAGAACTAGAATTTTGAGTAAAATTGAACAATGCCCGAATATGACACTACAAGAAGTAACCGCAGAGTGCCAGAGATTGGTGAACCTAAAGCATGATACTTCGATGGTCGAAAATAATGGCCAGTTGCCATACGTTCGTGCTGTAAGTGGAAAGAACGATTCTTGCTCAAGAAAGGCGTCGCACACAGATAATCAGCCTTCATCTCCATGTTGGCCTTGTGGTGGTTGGCATTATAAAAGGTTCTGCCCATATAAAGAACATTGTTGTAGCAAGTGTCATCGCAAGGGACATAAAGAAAACTGCTGCAGAAAAAGAACCCATAAACGACATTTTTTGAAACCCTACTCGAGGAAATACAGATTTAGTGCTCGAACTAACAAAATATTGGTATCACATAATCGAGCACGAACTTGCCGCCAAAGAAAGTATGTAAACTTGGATATAAATAAAAAGCGTGCCCGCCTGCAACTCGACACCGCTTATTAGTCAGAGAACTTGGAATCTTATCGGTAAACCACAGGTGCTCCCAACAACCCAGTTAGCTCACAGCGCATCTGGAGGAAAACTAAATATTGTTGGAGAGGTTTGTTGTACAGTCTCGAAGGGAAATGCGGAAACGAATGCAACTTTATATCTTACACAGAATCCAGGACTAGATTTGCTAGGTCTAGACTTGATAGAAGCACTTCAATTAGCAAATCACCCCATTAACCACATATGCAGCGCAGTGAGAACCAGTAAACCGGTGGAAAAGGATCTGAAGAGTGTTGTACTGGAAAGACACAGTCAAGTGTTTACGGAAGAGTTGGGGGAATGCAAAAAGGTTAAAGCACTATTGATTCTTAAACCGGGAGTCACCCCAGTCTTCAGACCAAAACGTCCGGTACCCTATGCAGCACTACCTATTGTTGAACAAGAATTAGAGCGTCTGCAAAGAAGTGGAATAATCGAACCAGTAAACTTTTCTGATTGGGCAGCTCCAATAGTGATTGTTAAAAAGCCTAATGGAAGTATCCGGTTATGTGCAGATTATTCGACTGGATTAAATGAAGCGCTTGAAGCCCATCAATACCCATTGCCGGTACCAGGGGATTTATTTGCGAAACTGAATGGGGGTAAGTATTTTGCGAAATTAGACCTATCAGACGCTTATCTACAGATTCCGGTAGCGGATGAGTGTAAGCATTACTTGACAATAAACACTCACAAGGGATTGTTCCGATATAACCGACTTCCTTTTGGAGTAAAGACTGCCCCTTCAATCTTCCAACAAGTTATGGACACTATGTTACAAGACATTCCTGGTACCGCGGCTTATCTCGATGATATATTGATCATGGGTACAGACTATGCTGATTTAGAGAATAAGGTGGATACGGTTCTCAGACGCATAGCAGATTATGGATTAAGACTGCGTGCCGAAATATGTGATTTTTACATGGAGCAAGTCCGGTATTTGGGATTCATAATTGATAAAAACGGGAGAAAACCTGATCCTGAAAATGTCGAAGCCATTAAGTCCATGCCTCCACCGACGGATGTGTCAACTTTACGTTCTTTCTTGGGAATGGTTAGTCATTATGGAGTTTTTCTGCCAGATCTGCATCGCCATCGTGTTCCTCTTAATTGCTTATTGAAAAAGGATACTAAATGGTTCTGATCAACTGAATGCCAAGAAGCATTCCTAAAACTGAAGCAGCTTCTATCATCGAATCTTCTCCTTACACACTATGATCCCGATCTTTCAATTATAGTCGCAGCAGATGCGTCGAACTACGGAATTGGAGCAGTAATTTCACATGCCTACCCTGACGGTTCTGAGAAAGCAATCGCTCACGCTGCGAGATCTCTGACTATGACTGAAAGAAACTACAGTCAAATTGAAAAAGAAGCCTTCGCGATTATATTTGCTGTAAAAAAGTTCCACAAGATGTTTGGTCGGCAGTTCACCTTACTTACAGACCATAAACCTTTACTGACAGTTTTTGGATCTAAAAAAGGCATCCCGGTATATACAGCAAACCGGTTACAGAGATGGGCTACCACACTGCTGGGTTATGATTTCAAAATAAATTATCAACCAACAACGGATTTCGGACAGGCAGATGCACTCTCAAGATTGATTGGTCTGCATGAAAAACAAGAAGAAGAGGTGCTTGTAGCTGCTATAGATGTCGAGGCCGAGGTTCACAAAATATTGTCAGACGCAGTTTCCGGACTCCCGGTCACATTTGAAGCCATTAAAGAGGCCAGCAAGAAGGATAATGTATTAAAGATTGTTCGCCATTGCATACTCAATAAATGGCCTTCATCTAGATTACACGGAGAACTCTTACAATACTTTCGTCGACGAGAGTCATTAACAGTTGTCGATTCATGTATAATGTTTGGCCATCGTATCGTTATCCCCAGAAATCTTCGACACCAAGTCATTAAACAGTTCCACAGCGGGCATCCGGGGATAAGTAAAATGAAGTCACTAGCTCGTAGCTATGCATACTGGCCGTCAATGGACCATGAGATAGAGCAAAAATGTCGCAGCTGTTGGTCCTGTCAAGAGGCTGCAAAGAATCCAACGAGAGCTGAGCCACAACCATGGCCTAAACCGGACGGGCTTTGGCAAAGAATACATGCTGATTTCGCCGGACCGATACAAGGCAGGAATTACTTAGTTGTTGTAGATGCTTTCACAAAATGGCCGGAAGTATATGACATGCCGAATACGACTTCAGAGAGTACCATAAGAAGATTGTCAGGATTGTTTGCCTGTTTTGGGGTTCCAGAGATCTTAGTGACTGACAATGGTACTCAGTTTATGTCATCTGCCTTCAAACGCTTCTGCAACGAGAATGGCATATTGCATCTACAATCTCCTCCATACCATCCTCAGTCGAATGGCCAGGCAGAAAGATTCGTGGATACAATTAAAAGAGCTCTGGTCAAAGGGGGAGGTGAGGGTGTCCCGGAACAAGTGATTAATAAGTTCTTGATGTCTTACAGAGTTACCCCTAATCCGGCAGTACCAGAAGAAAAGTCTCCGGCCGAGTGTATGTTCGGAAGGAAAATCCGGACAGTTTTTAACAGTATGTTGCCGCCCAGAAAGACAAATAAACCCACGAATGAAAATCGTAAGGTCAATTGTAGCTTCCAGGCGGGTGAAAAGGTACTTGTTAGATCGTATCAAGGTAATAGGAAGTGGGAACCAGGTGTCATAGAACGTCGAATCGGAAATGTGCTGTACCTAGTCCGGAAAGATGTCGGAAAATGCATAAGACATATAAATCAAATGCAAAGAAATGATAGTACAGTGGTCCCAGAAAACCGGCTCCCATTTCAATTGCTCGTAGATTCGTCTCAGAAGAACCATCATGAGCGCAAATATCGAAAAGACAAACGACGCAGAGAGAAGGCTGTACAACCTTCGAGAGTAATGGACCGCAAGAGGAATGCGACACCCAAGCTTCAGGTGGATCCAAGAAAAAAATCTGTCTTCTTATTGCGACTTGGAAGGGTTTGGTGTTCTAGTGCTCAGTTATACGCGGTTGTATCAAGAAAAATCAGCTTTTTCAAGT